AAGTAAACTTCAATTTCTTTCACTGAAAACGAAGGAAACTGTGAAATAACCAACAAAGTAACGATTGTTTTCTGAACTCTGGGCCAGTAACACTTAGTGGACCACTTCCTCCTGGCAACACTTTACTTCCTCTTGGCAACACTTTACTTCCTCCTGGCAACACTTTACTTCCTCCTGGCAACACTTTACTTCCTCCTGGCAACACTTCACTTCCACCCTGGTAACCACTAAGAGTAGACGGAAGAATGGACGGACGGAGACGGATAGAGACACTGACGGAAGTGGGAGCCACAACTCGCCCACATGTACACGAGTAGCAGCACAGTCTCAATCATCTAAGGAGCGCTAGTCCCTTATGGAACTAGCGCTTAACAGTAATATCAATAATATTTTTGCAATGGTTACATGTAGTCAGGGGGTCACTGCCTCCGGGACTCGGTCCCAGCCTATGTGTTCTGGTTGCTGGTAGGGTCGATCAGGCTGTTGGTTCCCGCTACCCGCAGTCCAACATATTTACCATAGTAATAATATACATATAATGAAACAAGTTTGCTTTGGGTAGAGCTTCATTTAATCGTGAAGCAGCTCTACACAGAGAAACTGTGCCTGTGTAAGAGTCTTGATAATATCTGCCATCCTACAGTAATACTGGCGAGTAAACACTAGCAAACTGGTAACTCAGCAGTCATACAGTGGACTTCTTGCCACTGGAGAATCAAAACTATCTCTACCTTTTCACTCGACCGCCAGGGCCAAAACGCTCCCTTGGGTCTGTCTACACATCAACAAGGGTTTCAGGGACTGCCATTTACGAAGTGAGCTTTAAGAAGGTAAAAGTATTTTTTTTGTTTGACCACCAAAGAGGATCGTTTAACTTTAAGACCTTTCCAATAATCATACAGGAAAGCTCAAGACCTTTCTATTCATCAGACAAAATTGTTAAGGACCTTTCCGACGCTTTCGCTCATTAAACGTTACTTTTCAGGGACTTTCTTGCCCACAAAGGGAAATGTTCATGATCTTCTCTGACCACCAGGAAGGTGGTCAGAGAACGATACAAGTACACATGTATCAGTGCAAAGTCAAAAAAGTACATTAAGTATCTCATGCCAACCGAGGTTTACATAGCCAAATTCCAGGCCAGCACAGAGGTGCATTACATTCCTCACACACGATACCCTCCAGGTAGAGCACAGGAGTATACAGCCATAACACAGGGCAAGATAGTAGTACACTAGGATACCTGCGGGCAGCAAAGTGGCTCAAGGATCGTAGCAACACTATCAGGAGGGAGCACCGAGGGGGGAGAGAGAGAGAAAGCGAGAGGGAGCTGTCCCGTTGGGTTCGGTAACGTGGAGACTAGTCATGTTGGAAACCTTTGCACTTTCTCTAGTTTCCTTATGTGCTTGGCTAGGTATGGGTTCCAAACTGGTGCTGCATACTCCAATATGGGCCTAACATACACGGTGTACAGGATCCTGAATGATTCCTTATTAAGATGTCGGAATGCTGTTCTTAGGTTTGCTAGGCGCCCATATGCTGCAGCAATTATTTAGTTGATGTGAGCCTCAGGAGATGTGCCTGGTGTTATACTCATCCCAAGATCCTTTTCCTTGAGTAAGGTTTGTAGTCTCTGGCCCCCTAGACTGTACTCCGTCTGCGGTCTTCTTTGCCCTTCCCAATCTTCATGACTTTGCACTTGGTGGGGTTGAACTCCAGGAGCCACTTTCTGAACCAGGCCTGCAGCCTGTCCAGATTCCTTTGCAGTTCTGCTTGGTCCTCGTCCGACTGAATTTTTCTCATCAACTTCACATCTGCAAACAGGGACACTTCGGAGTCTATTCATTCTGTTATGACGTTCACATATACAAGGAACAGCACCGGTCCCTGTGGATCCCCGCTCGTCACAGGCGCCCACTCTGACACCTCGCCACGTACCATGACTAGCTGTTGTCTTCCTCTGTACTCACCTATTTGTACTCACCTATTTGTGGTTGCAGGGGCCGAGTCACAGCTCCTGGCCCCGCCTCTTCGCTGATTGCTACTAGGTCCTCTCTCTCCCTGCCCCATGAGCTCTATCATACCTCGCCTTAAAACTATGTATGGTTCCTGCCTCCACCACATCACTTTCTAGGCTATTCCATGGCCTGACTACTCTATGACTGAAGAAATACTTCCTAACATCCCTTTGATTCATCTGAGTCTTCAACTTCCAATTGTGACCTCTTGTGTCTGTGTCCCATCTCTGGAACATCCCGTCTTTGTCCACCTCGTCTATTCCGCGCAGTATTTTATATGTCGTTATCATGTCTCCCCTGACCCTCCTGGCCTCCAGTGTCGTCAGGCCGATTTCCCTCAACCTTTCTTCATAGGACAATCCCCGTAGCTCTGGGACTAGTCTTGTTGCAAACCTTTGCACTTTCTCTAATTTCTTGACGTGCTTGACTAGGTGTGGATTCCAAACTGGTGCTGCATACTCCAGTATGGGCCTGACGTAGATGGTGTACAGAGTCTTAAACGAATCCTTACTGAGGTATCGGAACGCTATCCGTAGGTTTGCCAGGCGCCCGTATGCTGCAGCAGTTATCTGATTGATGTGCGCCTCAGGAGATATGCTCGGTGTTATACTCACCCCCAGATCTTTTTCCTTTAGTGAGGTTTGCAGTCTTTGGCCATCTAAACTATATTGTGTCTGCGGTCTTCTTTGCCCTTCCCCAATCTTCATGACTTTGCATTTGGCAGGGTTAAATTCAAGGAGCCAGTTGCGGGACCAGGCTTGTAGCCTGTCCAGATCTCTTTGTAGTCCTGCCTGATCCTCGTCCGATTCGATTCTTCTCATTAACTTCACATCGTCTGCAAACAAGGACACTTCTGAGTCTATCCCTTCCGTTATGTCGTTCACGTATACCAAGAACAGCACAGGTCCTAGGACTGACCCCTGTGGAACCCCGCTTGTCACAGGCGCCCACTCTGACACCTCGTCGCGTACCATGACTCGTTGTTTCCTCCCTGTCAGATATTCTCTGATCCATTGCAGTGCCTTTCCTGTTATGTGTGCCTGGTCCTCTAGCTTTTGCAGTAACCTCTTGTGAGAAACTGTGTCGAAAGCCTTCTTGCAGTCCAAAAATACGCAGTCGATCCACCCCTCTCTCTCTTGTCTTACTTCTGTCACCTTGTCATAAAACTCTAGTAGGTTTGTGACACAGGATTTTCCTTCCCTGAAACCGTGCTGGTTGTCAATTATACACTTGTTTCTTTCCAGGTGCCCCACCACTCTCCTCCTGATGATCTCCATGACCTTGCATACTATACACGTTAGAGATACAGGTCTGTAGTTTAGTGCCTCATGTCTGTCTCCCTTTTTAAAAATTGGGACTACATTTGCCATTTTCCATACCTCAGGGAGTTGCCCAGTTTCAAATGATGTGTTGAAGATCTTTGTTAATGGCTCACACAATATCTCTGCTCCCTCTTTAAGGACCCATGGAGAGATGTTGTCTGGTCCCACCGCCTTTGAGGTGTCAAGTTCGCATAGCAGCTTCTTCACCTCCTCCTTGGTTATATGTACCTCATCCAGCACTTGCTGGTGTGCCCCCCTGTTCTGATTTCTTGGAGTCCTACTGGTTTCCACTGTAAATACCTCTTTAAATTTTGTGTTGAGCTCCTGACATACCTCTCGGTCGTTTCTTGTGAATTCCCCATCACCCTTCCTCAGTCTGATTACCTGGTCCTTGACTGTTGTTTTCCTCCTGATGTGGCTGTACAACAGCTTCGGGTCAGTCTTTACTTTTGATGCTATGTCATTTTCATATTGTCTCTGAGCCTCCCGTCTTATCTGTGCATATTCGTTTCTGGCTCTTCGGCTGATTTCTTTATTTTCCTGAGTTCTCTGTCTTCTGTACCTTTTCCATTCTCTAGTACACCTAGTTTTTGCCTCCCTACACCTTTGGGTGAACCAAGGACTCGTTCTGTTCTTCCCATTATTTCTGTTTCCCTTGGGAACAAACCTCTCCTCTGCCTCCTTGCATTCTGTGTGTGTGTGTGTGTGTGTGTGTGTGTGTGTGTGTGTGTGTGTGTGTGTGTGTGTGTGTGTGTGTGTGTGTGTGTGTGTGTGTGTGTCTGTCTGTCTGTCTGTCTGTCTGTCTGTCTGTCTTTCTGTCTGTTTGTGTGTCTGTCTCCCTGCGAGTGGGCTGTTGACCCGGGCTTCCTTCTCACCCAGTATCAACACCTGCGAGATACACACTGCCCGAAGAGACATACATTGTCATGTCAGTCTTTGTCTTGCTGTTATCTCTCTCAACACTGGTCTTACCCAGGTCACTGTCAGGGGTTATTATAAGATTAATACCAATGTTACCTGCTTCAGTAACGGGGTTATCACATTAATATGGAAATCCTATGCCTCAGCATCAGTGTTAACTGTACAGGTCACGACGATATTATGTATTTATTAGTGAAAGAAGATGCTTGTAAAATAAGAGATTCTTATCTCTATGCTAGAAGTTGATGAATGGAATAGTAACCATGCGGCGTCTCACTCACATTTAACAAATGTATAATATTTATATTCCGAGATAAAAACAAAAGTGTGATAGAGCGTTTTACTTAAAAAAAATCGTACATTTGTACTGTGCAAGCCAAATTAATACTTTAAATTGGATATTCGAAATTGCATAAATTCCGTATTACACAATATCTGCAAAAATAAAATACTAGAAAACAAGAATGTACATTGATCTTACCTTACTTTAGCTTTCACAAAAAGTCCTTAAATATATACAAAAGACATAAATTGACGTATAAGAAGGTTATAAAAAAAATCAAGTAAAAATATGGAATAAAAGATATATTGAGGATTTTTTTTTCAGGTGGGAATGAAGTCTTTCACGTGACAAGGGACAAGTGGAGAAGAAGCCTTTCATACCAGGAACATGTAGAACTAATGTCTCCCTTGGAAGGTGAAGCAGGAGGATGAAAAGGCTGAGAGGTTGAGTACTCACCGTGAAGGAGTCATCACACTGCACCTTAGCCATGGCGGGGTCGTTGAAGATCTTGAGTTCCTGGAGCGCGCCCTGGAGGAGGAACAACCACACATGCGTCAGCACCAGCAGTAGTAAACGTTGAGACACACACACCACCAACATGCTTCACACTCCTACCAATAATTAACTCTCCAGGGTACAACACCTAAGACTGGTAGTTTTTAACTCGTCTTGATCGAGAGTTCAGGTGTCAGTGTCTCAACTTGTTATGTGAACGAGTATTTATAATGTCTTATATATTTTACATATACTTCAGATCCGTTTGGACTTAAAAATTTAGGCACGACTTTGAACTTAGGCCACAACATTAGTGCATTATCAAATTATATTGGAACTAGTTAAGTCCAGTGTATTAATATTGAAAAGTCGCTATTTACAAATCTTTCACTTTATAATGTATTCTTGCTTTATTATTTATCATATGAACTTAGTGGAAGACGATATAAAACAGTTTTTGAAGACACGCAGTGAAGGCACAAGAGTAGGGTGAGGTAGACAGAGGACCCGGTGAGGGGAGGATAAAGCAGACAGGTGCGTTATATGACCTTCTCCCTAGGCCGCGAGAAGCCAACTGAGAGCAGAATCACAACACTGTCTGCCCGCAGTCTGGCAGTTGAGGGGTGCCAACTTGCGTTAATACAACAGCATCCGGCACACACGCGTTAGTGAACGTTGTGGGTTATAAGCAATAGTTCTTGGAGCACTGGAAGCTAACGTTTTGTGGTATTAGATGCGAGATGTGCAGAGAACTTCACCTGTTTGACCATCTATCTCCGTTGACCGCTGGAGGGGAGCACCAAGAGACGTGTCGGTATGTGAGTGCAAATTACTGTCATATTGAACACTCCTCCACGTCACTGCATGTGTGCCAATACCTCAACCCTCCTGCGATATAATATATATATATAATATATATAATATATATATATATATATATAATATATATATATATATATATATATATTTCCAATCGTGTGATTGGAAATATACAAATATTTTCCAATAAAAAATGCATTTTGAAAATCTAGAATGCGTATGTACTGGTATATTTCAGGAAGTCTGGCATTAACAGCCTCACAGAAAGGAGACCTAAATATAAATATATTATTTTTGGTTTTCTTTTGCGGAGAAAATCTAATTATTATGACACATTTAGAAAAAAATCAATAGAGGCGCACTGGACCGGCAGTTTACATTTACTTAGACTTTCGACTAAATGATTTACAAAGTCGACAACTTAATAAATGAGAAACCTAGACAACATTTGGGTATCTTTATTATGGAAAAATTTCGCCACACAGTGGCTTCTTCAGTCCAATGCAGAGAAAGTTGGATGATGATGAGGAGTTTGAGGTAATCAGTCCCTTATCCTGGACTCATCTTTCACCTTTCTCTGCACTGGACTGAAGAAGCCGCTGTGTGGCGAAACTATTCCATAATAAAGATACCCAAATGTTGTCCAGGTGTCTTATTTATCAAGTAAGACTTTTAAAAAGAGGTTAAATTGAAGATTATAGAATACAAACTTGAGATGACAATTATTGAAGAGGATAAAAGTATACATTGGAGAGCGCTAAACTCGTGAGGGGTCATTCAGCGCCTGCAGAACGGAAGGAAATTAAGTCTGCCCAAGTCACCAGTATCACCACCAGCATCACGTCACCAGTATATTATGTCACCAGTATCGCGTCACCAGTATCACATCACCAGCATCACATCATCAGCATCACGTCACCAGTATCATGTCACCACCATCCCTCCTTGATGGATGCAGAGACGCTACTTGTTTGAAAGACCAAATATACACAATTGCAAGAGGAAATATGACATTAGAACAAAATCCAAGTGAAGAACAACCCGTTGCCTTGGACCACTAATCACAGGAGGTTCATTCACGGACGATGAACAGGAAATGAGCGAAATTCTAAAGGACAATTTGAGTCTATGTTCAGCAGTCCACTAAACGAAAACAGGTAGAGAACGAAGTTTTGTCTTTTCGCTTTATCTGAAGGACATTCATCAGATAACTGACTTGCACTTGACTTGTACTCACTGGAGCCCAGGCGAGAGAGATACATCATAATCTACATCTGGAAGATCTTGGAGGAACTGGTCCCTAATCTCCCTATGAAAGCAAAAGACTTGGCAGGCGATGCAACATACCCCCAATGAAAAGTACGAGAGCCTTTAGTACACTAAGAAAACACAATAAGTGTCCGGGGCCCAAGACTGTTCAACAGCCTCCCATCAGCCATAAGGGGAATTACCAATAGACCTCTGGTTATCTTCAAGAGGGAGCTGGAGAGATACCTAAAGTCGGGCTGTGGTTCTTACGTTGGACTACGTGTGGCCACCAGTAACAGCCTCGTTGATCAGGCCCTGATCCACCAGGAGGCCTGGTCATGGACCGGGTCGCGAGGCCGTTGATCCCCGGAATACCCTCCAGGTAGACTCCAGGTAAGCGCTCGTCCCCTTGAATTCGAAAAATGGAAAAAATGCCCACTTATTTAACACCTGGACCGCATTCGTGCAATTCCTTATTTATACAAGAAAGTGCAAAGCATCACTAGCACGAACACTCAGTATTGTTCAGTTTTGACAGCTCTGTTTAGGGTAGAGGAAATATCAGAACCGGAACAGATACAGAGTTTATTTACAGCCAGCATAGAACCAATAAAGCATTTAGTTACTGGGAACGCTTCGGAGTCCTATATATGTACTCACTGGAGCGGAGAAGAGAGAGATACATGATAATATATAACTCATGGCTCACTAAATCGTAATGACACGATTGCAAACAAACCATACTACTGACGGGGCTTGAACCCGCGGTAGAGAGTCGTAAAACTCCAGACCGACGCGTTAGCCTACTTGGATGAATCTTATTGTAGCCAGCTGGCCCAGTGGCTAATGCGTCCGTGGAATGGTTTATGATAATAAACACTAGGAAAGTACTAGAAGGATTTATCCTAAATCTACACACTAGCATAACAATATACTGGACTGGGAGATATAGGAGGAAGTGTCAAATATACCTAGTGACAAGCAAGGACGCCGAGGGTACAGTAAGAGAACACTGTATCAACATCCATGGTACGAGGCTATTCAACATCTTACCAGAAGATATCAGACACACTGCTGGGACTAGGGTCTTCGAAAGTATCCTGGACAAGTATCTCCAAGTGCCAGGTCAACCAGGCTGTGATGAATATGTATGCCAGCAGGCCGGCAGTAGCAGCAGCTTGGTTGCCTAGGCAAGCCTGTCCCAGGCCCGGGCTCCGGGAGTATAAAAAAAAAAACTCGAAACTCAAAGGTATATGAAAAATATATTAATATAAATAATTTAGAGGAAGAATAATTACAAGTATACGATTGGAAGAAATAAAATTCTTTTGTAAAGTAAGAAATTGAGATTATTATAAAATAAGCAAGGGCGAGAGAAACTAAGAGCACTAGGTAAAACTAGAGTAATTGGAATTTAGTGTTGACAAACATTATCTCAAGAATGTAAGTGAAGTCTGTACTGAGACCATGAAGACTCTCTGAATACTGTTGTTGTGATAACTTTGAAGACCCTCTTTGCCACCAGCCGCGAGCCCAACTGAGTTACTAACGCTGGTGAAAAGCTCTTGATAAGAGGAATTGGAGTTACTGTTTCCTTCCTTGGTTTCAACCTGGCTACCTTATGTTCCCCAGACCATGTATATCCCATACGAATTTAGCGCTTTCCGTTGAATATATTGCAATACTTCCCAGCATCCATTTAACTAATGGCGTGTGACAGGCCACAAATGGTGCCCAAACCTCACTTTTTTTTTACAGAAATAACAGGCGTCACACAAGCTCCTGAATTACGTAGATCAGACATGTCTGTCACTCCTCTCTATAACATTATAGTTCACAACACTATTAAGGCAACAAACGCATGTATGAAGTACTAAGGACTGCTCCAGCGACCTATCCTATGGCAGCCTATTACAAAACTCACTAGACAGGTAGGTTGTCCAAATATTGAACATTCGTTGCCTGATGGTTACCTAGCTTTATACTTGCCAGTGTTTAAGGAAACATTACAGGATTAAGAATTATTAACAAGCATAAAAGTAAAGATAAATGTATGTTGAACGTAAGAAAGAAGCAAAGTATAACTCTGAAGGGTAAGCTGAGTGGCAACCTTGCTGAAACGGGCGCCTGCGGGAAGACTGCTACACCACCTGCTCACTTTAAATTACCGGAGGCTGCAGGCCCGTAGAAACATGCATTATTAAATGCAGGCGCGCCGCACTGTGAGAAGGTAAACGTATCAAGGAACGTAAGTACGACGCAACACTGTGAAGAAACTGACGCAAGAGGGAAGGCAGGTACCCCGGCGCACTGTGGGGAGCCCAGGAGGATTAATCCATGAATGGAGACATAAGACGGTAATGGATGACGTTAGAAAGATGTGTTAATACGCTGCGTCGATGCCACACACACAGCTAGGATAGATACTCGAGGGAGGGGGTATACGACCTCCTCCCTTAAAGGGTCTTTACAGTTTACAAGGAGACATAGTACCTAGTCTACATGTGTATCACCATTCTCTGCTGACTAGAACAGCAAGCCGATAAATGAATATAAAAACATAACTGTACTTCCTTACTATTCTCTCTTTTCAGAATCCCTTTAAAATACTGCATCTGTTTAATATTACTATCCTTTTATTATAAAAATAGACAAAAATAAGCACGCTTTAGCTGTGATAAGTGCGAGGAGAACTAAGGTGAATTTTGTTGTGAAGTGGAGACGTCAGCAGCTGGAATGTACGTTATTGATAAACTGGCTCAAGAAATCGTAATGACACGATTGCAAACAAACCATACCCCCGGCCGGGATTGAACCCGCGGTCATAGAGTCTCAAAACTCCAGCCCGTCGCGTTAGCCACTAGACCAGCTAGCCACAATAAGATTCATCCAACTAGTGAAGGGACTTGAGCTAGAGTTCGTCACGGCCACGCTAGCTGGAGATTCGTCTGTAAAAACTTGCATTT